AAGACAGTTTCAGGTTAATATTAGTGAAATACATACCAGTAGAGGTCCTAAGGTACTGGACTAGACCCTGGAACCTCCTCTACTGAAGATTCTTGAGAACAGGAGCAATAAAAGCTGTTGTGAAGAACATCTGTCTTATTAGCTTATGTCAGGCTTGACAGAGTAGAGACCCTCCTGAGTTTTCTGCTCTTCTGCCTTAATTTTTCTGCCTGTACAAAGTGGTTTCAGTAGATTTTAGTTCTGACATGTAGCACTGGGTACAGAAAGTTAGAGGGACAGAGAAATTAAATTAAATTAAATTAAATTAGTCCCTGCTTTTATAAACCAAGAAGCTCAAAGTTAATTACACTGAAAATGCAAATAAAGGATCTGTTCCAGACAGCGAGAAAACTCCCTGGGACTTGTGCTGTCCTAGGATCAAACCCAAAATGAAGAGCCTGCACTATTTTCCTTGAGAATTGTTAATATGTGTATTGAATGAAATACAAAATTTTTATGTCTATAAAAGCCTTCATCCAGCACTATTTAGGGTGCTGTTGTCTGAGTTTTAGTTTACTCATCTAGATGTATCGATTGTCTTTTGCCATAAAAAATGACTCCATCTGTCATAGCTTACCAGACTTGTTGAAAAGGGTAGGCTTGTCAAAAAACAATTTTAGTTCTGCTGTGATTCATTTCTTTTTCCCATTGACCTATGTTGTACTGTGCCATATAATCAATCTGGTGTCTTGTGTAAGTGCATGAAGAATTTGTTTTGTTTAATAACAGTGTGTAGTACTTTTTTCTATCATTGCTGATGCAATATCTTGGAAATGACTGGTCAAACACTGGATGTTCTGCAGTTAAATATTTCAAGTTAAATTACAGTTCTAATAGCTTACATTCAGTGGCAGCTTTATTAATCCAGCTGCTGACATGAGTCATTTCAGGCATGGTACGTGCAATAGCAGAATTCCCATCTAATTACTCTGACAAAATAGATATCTTGCAAATAGCTGTGGAACAGTTAAATCTTCAGCCCTGTGCTCACAGCTGGGTAATTGAATATGTATTTAGTCTATGTGATTCTCAGCTGATTGTGGCTCCAGGCTGAAAAGACTCTGCTGAATCTGTGCACATTTGAGGCTGGTAAACTACATCAATTGTGGAACTTGTAAGAATTTCCACATCAAACCATACTAAGTAAATGCTCAGTTAGAAGTTTAAAACTTTGCCAGAAATTACATATAAATGAGGAATAAACACAGGCTACTCCATGACTCCAAGGCCAGAAAAAGGCTCCTCTCTGCCTATCTGCAGACATGTCCTAAGGAATTGGTGGTTCAATATCTGTTGTGTGAGCAGCAGCTGCCTGCATTGCTGGCTATTAGAACACTTTTAAAGTATAGCCCTCTGTTAGAATGCAAATAAACTCAAGAAAATGGCACTAAGATTGGCAAATGACAGACTCCTCTGATAGCCTGGCAGATTGCTGGAAATAAACTCAAGAAAATGGCACTAAGATTGGCAAATGACAGACTCCTTATAGCCTGGCAGATTGCTAGAGGTGGCCTTAAGCACCTTCACCAAAGAAAAAAGGCTTAATTTTAATTAATACTGGCAGTCATCTCCTTTTGGAGTTATTAGATTAGACAGTTATCAGATCAGACTGCTATTAGTTCATGTTACTCATGAAACTCATGTTGCCCTTCTATGTTTTGGGAATAAAGTCAGAACTGTCATCCTTGACACCAGAGCAGGCATTTCTAATAGAGAAATGGACAAATCCAAGGGTTGCAATAAAGCCAAAGCAGTGTCTTTTCCACCAAACAGAATTTTTCTGGTCTATGTGACAGAAAACTTTGGAAGTCAGACAAGATTTTTTTCTTCTGAGACTGAGAAACTGAGTGTACACAGTGCCAAATAACTAGATAATCAGGATATTCACTGGAAAAAGAAATATCTAGCCCCAAATTTGGGTCAAATTTGGATGAAATAAGATCTGCTGCTACATATATCTTTGTTTCATGAACATTTCTAGAAAGACCTGTCGCCTTTTTGTTGCAGACCAAGAATATTTTTGAAATCTCAGAAAATTCTGTAAAATGAGATTATTGTTCTCCATTAAGGTATCACAGCAATCATTACTTAAATATTTTTAGCTGCCTAACAAAGACTTGCTTAGAACTGATTCCAAGTGATGACATGTAATGAAAAGCTTTGTGTACAGCAGACATTATTTGAGCACAGAGGTTCCCCTCCCTCTTCCATCAGCAGTTTCTGATAGACTCCACTGATCCTGGGACCTTAGTGAACTGTTCAGGAACACAAATGAAGTTTTAGAACTTATTCTAGTTTAAAAAATACCCCCAAAACTTTAATTCTTAGCAAGACAATTATATTGCTGATTTCTGAGACCTTCTTATTTTAGAGCTGCATTGAAACAGGAGAGTAATCTCTTAAGAGAGTCGGTGTGGTTTCCATTTGCTGTTATCCCATGACTTGAGAAAATTCCATCACTGCTGTTAGCTCTCAAATAGAAAGAGGAAAGATATTTTCCTTTATTGTTGATGGCAGTCAGGGGTGTAATGGGAACGAGGGAGAGAGAAAGGAAGATAAAGACATGATTTTCTTTTATTTTATAAAATTGATCAAGGGAAGCAATGTGTGAAAATTTTCAAAGAAGGCACAGACACAGTGGCTGTAATGAAAGGTCTTACCACGTACTCTGGAGACGTGGGGAATATGTTGAGTTTAAACACAAAATATGAGCAACTGTCGCTAAATCTCTGAGTAAATCTACTGAACTGTAGGTCACAGCTGCTATGTTCCCTCACAGGAATAAGTTTCTTCTTGTTAATAAGCCTTTCTACATACACTTCAAAGGTATCTGACTAAAAATTTCCCTGGGTCTGGTTTTGCATTGTTGTTTATCCTCATCCTGAAGAAAAGCAAACGGTATCTATACATGTAGCTTCTATTTAATCTCATACTTCCAATTTTCAATTTATAGATTAGAAATATAATTTTTTTTTAAAAAAGAAGAGGAAAGAAATCATGCAAGTCAACAGAACATATTTTAAAAAAAGAGTCCCAGATTTGAATTTAGCTGGCAAGTGAAGAGGAGAGGAGTGAATATCAACATGTGAAGATCACACTAGGAACTAGAACAGTGGTTCCATAGCTGTTTTGGATTGCTATAAACCCTCAGAATTTCTTACAGACCACCAGGTATCGTTATCATCAAACTTTTAATTGAAAACACAGTTTAAAATAGTGTTTAATCTGGCTCTGTGGATTAGCTGTGAACCCTTCAGCGTGGCCTCCTGGACCACCAGTGTTCTGCGGGGCGCTGAAGCAGACTGCACACATCGTCCACCCCAACAAAACCCTGCTGTGTCTGACAGAGAGGCACTCCTGCAACTGCACCAGCCACTCACATAAAGCACATGGCACTGCAACCTTCTTGGTAGCTGAAGAACACAAAACTATTTTGTTTTTTTCCCTACTCAAAGTTTATTTTTTTATTTCTTTGGGGAAACAAGCAAATGGTGCCAAGCCTCGATTACTGATTGTTTCTTGTAGGGTCTTCCTCATGTCTGGCAATGGTGTAATCTTTCAGGAAGTTATCTATGAAAATAAGAAATACAAATCCCCCCATACTGTGGAGTTATCATTCCAGAATAATTATGAGATCTATGAATCCAAAAATTAAAAAAATTAAAACTAGCTTCTAAGTTGTGGGGGTTTTTTCCTCCTCTGGAAAATGTGTTCCTTTTTTTTCACTTCCCAAATCCACTAATGATGTTAGAGCTATGTGTGTGGTCATTAAAGCATTTCAGCAACTTTCTGCAAATTCTTTACAGTTATTCTTTGGCTGCAGCACTACAGGATTGTCTGTTTATTACCAGAGAAGCACACAGAGGAAAGCAATGAGGAGGGAACTTATGGGGAAAGCATTGAGAAGGGAACTTGTGTGGAAGTGTTATAAATAACAGCACCAAAACACCATGATCCAGCCCTGTGTGGAGTCAGTGACAGAGTGTGGTCTCACAAAAGAGCAGGGATGGGCTGTAGCTTCCCCTCCCATCATTCTGCTTCCTTGCACTTCACAGGCACCCCAGCCAATCAGTGTAGAAAGGAGCCTTATTCACCCCTCCTGATATACTCATTATCAAGAACTATTGCATGGAACTGGCAATCAGGAACCTTTGCAAGTAGCAGCATCACAGAAAAAAAACCCCAAAAAACCTCATTTTCTAAACCAGCTATTTTTAAAAATAAGTCTGTGCTTCCATGACAGTATCTCGCCTGCTTTGGAGAGAAAATAGTGCTGTCACAGCACTTCTGTGCCCTTTGCATGCTCAATAGCCATGGTAATGCAGAGGTTTGAGTCAGACTGGGAGTGGGGAAGGGTCACTTCAGCAAAACTAATGCACAGGAGAAGTCTGCAAGGGAAAGGGGTAACCTCTATCTTGAAAGAAAATGAAACCTACCCAGTGCTTGTCTCTATAGGTCTCTGTTGCAGTACTTTACACTCAGCATCACTAATGGATGCTACTGGAGCATTTATATAGATTAATAATCAGACCCATTTGTGTCCTGGGGTATTTTTGTTTGTTTTGTTCTCTTTTTCCATACAGTGCCAATTCTCAGAGGTAGCTGTTAACTCACTTTTTATTCATCTGAACCAGATAAAATTCAAGCTTGCAAACCTGAGTAGACAGTGTGAAAGCACATCCTGTGGCCTCACCTCACCACTGTCCAGATTCATTGCCAAGCTCCCCTCTGCTGAAGGGGCTTAGGTGGGACCATCCCATGGCTGCATACCTGGGGTAATGTGCCTGAGCTGAGCCAAGCATTTCAAAACTGTGTGGAACTCTGTAAGAAATCCACGCTGAGGAGCAATGCCCTGCTCACCTTGCTGCCTGACCCCCTTGCTGTAGATAATGTGTGTGCTTTCTTTAGCGAGTTCGTGCTGCCTTTCTGCCAACCCATCAGCTTTTGGCTTCTCTCCACAGGAAGCAGGGAGGCTGCGTTCACCTATGCCATTACTGCTGCCGGGGTTGCACACGCTGTCACGGCCGCCTGCAGCCAGGGCAACCTCAGCAATTGTGGCTGTGACCGAGAGAAACAGGGCTACTACAACCAGGAGGAGGGCTGGAAGTGGGGAGGCTGCTCTGCGGATATCAGATACGGCATTGAGTTCTCCCGGAGGTTTGTTGATGCCCGAGAAATCAAAAAGAATGCACGGAGGCTGATGAACTTGCACAACAATGAGGCTGGAAGAAAGGTATTCCAGAAAGGATGAGGGATGGGAACGTGTGCTGGAGGATGGGGGGAGGCTGGCTTGGTGGCAGGAGGCATTCCCCAAGAGCTCACCCCTCTCTCTGACATTATCCTGCACCCACATCAAGTCATCTGTTTATGTTCACTTTTTTTTTGCTGTTTCTTTTTATTCAGAGCTGGCCATGTATTATAGGTACTCCTATAATAGTATGGGAGTAAACTATAGTAAACTATATAGCAAAATCCTTTTACCTATACCTATGTAAAAATAGTACCTATAATAGTTCCCATACCTTTTAGGTATGGGTACCTATAGCTAAACCTATAGGTACCTAACCTACACCATAGGTATAGGTTATCTATACCTATGTAAAAATTTCTGCTTCCTCAGCCTTCTTTCCAGCCCTGATAACAGGGAGGACCTTGCTGGATCTGTTTAGCATCATGATAAATCACTGCTTTCCATCCGATTTGCAAAAAATCTAGCAAGGGATGCTGGGGCTTGTGATGGGACAGAACTGAGTTGTCTGCATGGCTCAATTTCCACAGCATTTCCAGATATTTATTCCAGTGAACCCCAAATCACTTATTTGACCCCAGCTCTAGTGAAATACACATAGTAGTACACAATGCACTTCTTAGCAGCTGCACAACTCTCTCTTTGTAACTACAAAGCTACAAAGAGCTGCAGAAGAAGAAGTAGCTTCATGTCTACAGCCATGACTGAATTGCTGCTCGTGGTAACAATAAACATCATGGAGCTATGCTGATTTATGCTCACCAATCCTCATAGCTCTCAAAGCTTGCCCTTTAAAAAGTGTAACAAATCTTTCATATATACCTACCTCAGGAGAGATTATAGCCTTCAAAGAGTTTTCCCCTAGGAAAAGCCCTCCACTCCAGTGTTGCAGAAAAATGCAATATACCAATGTAGCAATCCAATAAAATCTGCCTCCTTCTCTAGTCCCCAAAGAATGACTGAATTTTCCTTCCCTAAAACCATGTGTGCTTTCAGTCCTGTACTGAGCACTGGGCAGAGAGAGTAGAATTGGTGGTGACAGAAACAATGCAATTATTTTACTGCCTGGATCTTTTCACCAGCACAGTTGCATTGGCCATGCACTAATAAAAAAGGTTCTGTATGGGCAGGAGTTCACTGGGATGGAAATGCTACATAAATTCAGTGTGGTGAGAGAGGCATAACCTCAAGTGTAGAGACAGGATGGGCACATCAGTGATAGTTGACACTGAGGTTTCCAGATGTGCAGGAGAAAGCTGACTGAAGAGCCAAACAGAAAAACAGCCTTGAGGGCCACAGTCTTTTTTCCTAAAAATTGCTGCCACGGGTCTAAAAGAACTTCATTCAGCAGCTGACCACCACACTGGAAGACCAGCTCGAGGTCTGATCACTTCACTTAGGCTGGGAATTTCAGCTCAGCATCATAAATTGTGTTTGGAAGCAAAACAAGATGGAAGTCAATTCTTAAACTTGCCAGGGAGAATTTATTACTGCTTTTGCATTATCATCCCTGCTTAAACGGGCGTCCTCTGTGGTGTGTGCTGTGCCACCCCCATGGAGACCCTGATGCAGGTCCTGCTTGGAACATGTCACAGTCTAGATGTGAAAGAGGGACAAAAGAGCAAAAGCAGATACTGAGATGGAAAATAGTGAAGTCCCGAGGACAGAAAGAGCTCATTATGTGAACCAGGCACTGATCATGGGTCCCCCAATTCTAAATACAGACCAGTAACCACCAGACCACATTGCTGATTCTTATTAAGCACATTATATTTTACTTTTCATCATAATTTCATAAGCAGAGGGACATAAGCAAACCAAATAAGTGCATGTTTTTACACATACTTCTGGTAGCAGAATTGATGCAAATATATTTTATTTACAATTTTAAATATTTTTTCAAATGTTCTTACAAAAAACAAAGGATAATACTTTCATATTTTAAGAAAGGAATACAAAAGCTTGCAATAACAACAACATATTTTTCCCATTTTTAAAAATAGAAATAGTATTTTGGAATTTATTAACTTTTTGTTGCATTTTTTAGTAGTTATTTATACTCATAGGTATTCATTGTATTGATTTCAAAAGCTAAGTATGACTGGAAGGATTTGGTGTAGTTTTTGTTTTTAAGTATAATCCATAAAATCCAGAGGAACGTGCTAATATAAAACATGGTTTTGGGAGTGATGTTTAGAAATAATGTTGGTGTTACAATATATAGTCCCTTTAATTGAGTATTCAGAGTTGTACAGTAAATAATATTCAGTGATTTTGGTTCTTCTGAGGTAATTTGCTATTTGTATAAATGAGACATTTTGAATTCAAAACTGACTGAAACTTAAGGTTAGAACAAAACTCTGGAACCTAAGATATACTCTCTGTGGTTTTGGGTTGGACCCTTGCAAAAGCAGTTACAGAATTTTCTGCAATTTCAATGTGAAATCACAAGTTCCTTCTGAGAATCCAGGCAGACTTGAAATCTGATCTACATTCACCTGAAATCCGGCTGATTTGAGGTCCTTGGTAAACCTGGACTGCACTGTGAGCCTGACACAAAACCTGAAACCAGAGGATTTTGCTTTTGCATGGGTGTCATTCTTACATACTCCACATGGTCCTCATTCACACTCAAGTCAAAAATCACAGAATCACAGAATGGGTAAGGTTGGAAGGGTCCAACCCCTTTGCTCAAGCAGGATCCCCTGGACAATGTTCCTCAGGATTGTGTTCAGATGGTTTTTGAGTTTGTCAAGAGAAGGAGACTCCACACCCTCTCTGGACAATCTGTTCAGTGCCTGGGCACTGCCCAGGGCAGAGGCTCTGCCTCACGTCCAGGTGGAACCTGCTGGGATCAGTCCCTGCCCGTGGCTCTGGTGCCATTGCTGGGCCCTGGAGCAGAGCCTGGGCCCTGCTCTGAGCCTCCCTGTACACAGGGACACCCAGGGCTGAGGGCCCCTCTCAGCTGGGGCTCCTCTCCAGGCTGCACAGCCCCAGCTGCTGCAGATCCCTTGTTCCACATCAACTCCATGATCCTGTGGTCACTACAGGCTGCCCCCAACATTCCCGTCCCCAGCAAGAGCTTCCTTGTTTGTTGGAGCCAGGTCCAGCCACACACCTTCCCTTGCTGGCTCCTGGGTACAACACTGAACTTCCATCTTTCTCCTTTTCCCTTCCAAAACTCTCACAACCCAACTGGGAAATCCTTGTACTGCTCTGAGAAAGCCTCTCACTGCCATTCTGCTGATCTGTATGTCTTAAAATTTGGAAACACTTTGGAGCCAAGTTTCTGGTTCATTCCTGCTATTATAAAGAACCAAAGTGCAGATATTTTATCCATGTTATGAATAGGAAGAAAAGGTGAGAAAGAAAACACAGGCACAGGAATTTTGTAATTCCTTCATTGCTTTTGAAGTTCTCAAATATTTTCAAATAAGGTATTTTCTATCTTAGAGTGGTAATGGACAGTAAAGAGAGTAAAGGAAATATATGCTTTTGTAGCTTCCTACAGAGATTTCAGAGCACTTTCACCATTTGAAAAACCCTGCATTCACATCTGCAATGGTAAGGCTTGCAGTTCTTTTTCAGTCATTCCAAACTGGCTTTTTGAATCAGCTAAGAAGAACAACTTTTAGCCAACAAATATGCTACCTTACTTTTAGTCTTCTTTTTGAATTTCAGAGCCTTCCAAGACAAAAACATGAGGAAAAGGACACAAAAAGCTCCCAGCCCCACATCCAATTGTTTCCAACTTGCTCTGAAGTCAGTGGAAGGCCCTTGATGACCCCACTAGACATCTACCAGGTGGCCAGAGGTTCATTGCTAGGACCATTAGTCAAGACTGGCCACCAGTTTTGTCCCCCCAGCAATTTGAACATTCTTTTATACCACCACAAGGACTTTCCCATGTGCTCTCAGGAATCTTGCTCGTTCTCCATCTCTTCCAGCACTTGTCCCCCACATGCCTGGGTGTCAGAAGGGTTTGCAAGTACAACAGTATGGCTTTAATGATTTGCCTTGGTAGGGATGCTCTCCAAAGCTGGCCTGCTGGTACTTCACTGCTGCTAAAGCAGAGCCCAGAGGAATTTTTCTTTGTGGAACAAGCAGCATGCTGTAAAAATAACTGCACAAATTTTGCAAACAGATGAGAGGGAAAACAGTCTTGGGGAGGTCTTTTACTTCTGTCTAGGGTTGAGATGCTCAGTACAACCCTCCAACAATTATCTCATTGGAAAAAATGACATTTAGGCTTCTCAGGGAATTTCTGATGACTGTGGAATGAATGAATACCCTAATTGCCCCACACTGCATCCTGTATGGCTCTGCACTGAATTTCTAAGAATTGTTTCAGCTAATGGCAGGTTTGCAAAGTTTCTGCTAAATTTGCAATAAGAAGCACCAGTGACAAAATCATTATCTTGTCATTGGTGTAATTTGGAATAAATAAATGCTCAGGGATTCCTGGTGACACAGGATTCTCCTGATGGAAGATTTAGGCTTGGTGGCAAAGTGGCAGCGCATGGTGTGAGAGAGCAGAGGAAGAAACTCCCCCCTCAGTTTCTAAACATCTGCTATGATTTGGGATGGAAAGAACAAGTGTGGTAAATGAAAACAAGCCCCCAAAGGAGGACTAGTATAATTCTAACACAAATGTTACTGAAAGAACGTTTTGTTGCAAATCTGAAAGATTACAGAGAGATCTGTGGGCAAAACTTCGACAGAGTAATGAAAAATTAAATACCAAAAAACCATGTCAGCTTTGATGCTGTTTTATGAGACAGCTTTCTACCATCTATTTTTAGAAATAAGTATTTTTATTCTGGGATAAATGAACTTAGAGTAACATCTGGGAACACACATCATTAAGCTTAACATTTTGTTGAAAGTTTCAAAACAATGACTGTCTCCCATGGGAAATCTCATTTATAAAAATGGATGTTTCTGTTTGTTTTTATGGGGTGAGTTAAAAGAACAAACTGACAAAT